CCCGCCCCCGCAGCGCTGCCTGCGCGTCTGATTGGCCACGCTGCCCAGAGAGGCGGGACTTCTTGCGGGGGGCGCATAGACGATACGTGAGTGCGGCCGCCCATCAACACCACGGCGCCCGGGGATTGGCGGCGACTCTGCCCMAAGCGGCGGCGTGGGCGTGGCGCGCGCTGTCCGGGGAGGGGCGTGGCCGTTGCGGCCGTTACGGGGTCTCCCGCGGGAGCGCGTTCCCTCGCTGGGACGAGGGCGTCGGTAACGCGCGTGGCARACGCAGGGCGCTGGGCGAGCACGGCACCTGCGCGGCTTTCTTTGCTGGATTGGGGATCGCGGCGAGGATTTCCAGAGCGCGCCGCGCACGGGTGCTGGGTGCCCCCTGGGGAACCCTGGCCAGAAATCCGACAATCCGGATTGCCGCAAATCCGGAGGATCAAACRACGTGATTGGAAACTCCGTGGTCTGCAGGAGATCCCGGGTGCCCCTGAGCAGCAGCAGATCAAGTAGAGTGCGTTTTACTTAAGGAGCTGCCTTAATTCCTTATTTATTACCAGAAGTTCACCTGTAAGCATCTCAGATTTATCTTCTGGATGCTGTACAGCACCCAGGCTCAGTCCCAAATCTTTGGCCAAGATTTTATATTCCTCCAACCAAGCCGGACTTAGTCCCATGGAACGAACGCAGGAAACRAAGGGGTTGTTCAGCAACTCGTGTCTCCAACATCATTATTTATTAACATTTTCCACTTCCCTCATTGCTTCTGGCCTCAGGTTACACCAGGCCTAAGCAGAGCACAGCACAGGGCTGCTTTTGGCTTCGTTGAGTGGGGAGGGGTTCGACTTAGGCGATGCCTTGTCTTGTCCTGCAYGTTTTGCATTGCTTTTCAGATATTTGCATCTGGAAAGCTACAGCTCCTGCATTTCAGGGAGGCCTTAGGAGACTTCCAGGGGTGTGAGCTCCGATACTGGGGGAAGAAAGGCGAGATCTTCAGCTACAGATGACAAACAGCAGCCAGGGAGGTGCTCGCCGATTGCTGGAGCAAGTCCTAAACCAGAGCAACGTAGAAGCCCTTGTGACTTGTGTTGGCCCAAAAGCGGCCAAGGGGAGCGATGACTGGCAGAAAGGGATCGGCAAAGRCAGGATTGTAGAGCACAACTGATTTGGGATCTGAGCCAAAATGTAGGGAAATGGGCATGTCTTGATTTAATCCAATATTACTGAGCTTAACCACGAAAGTAGGGACAAAACTAAGTGCCRAATAGGGGCAATAGCTGAACAAACAACGCTCGCGTCACTCCCAGGTCAATTCTCAAGGAATCTCATGAAATCTCATGAAATGATTCATCATTTTATGTACCCCATCCAAACTCTGCTGTTCTGCAAACAGAAGAGCCATGTGATGCTTTTTTATTATGCAGAGACATACTACGACATATGATAACATCTATTTAAACTGTATTCCTGCCTCCCATGCAGGAGGAAGCTGGGGAAAGCAGGCTGGTGTATATCCGAGCACGTCCACAGCTCTGACATCCTGGAAAGAGCTTGGAGCGGGAGGCCAAGAGCTGCTCAGACCAAGGCAGCCTGACCCCACTGCAGGAGCAGCTGCTCCCACCAAGGACACCGTGGCTCTCTGAAAATACGTCCTTGGGCTCCATGGTTGGTCCTCTTCCTGTTCTGTGCTGACAGTGAATAGCAAAACACCACCAAAACAAAACAAAACCCACAATATTTGATTCTTTTTCTGGATTTTTTCTTTTGGATTTTAACTCCTGTTCCCCTCTGGAATGAAGAGGAGCTTTGTTGGTACTTGGTCCTCCTGGTCCAAGTAGAAAGATGATCTGTGCTTTCTTTATATTGTTCGCTGTTCAGCTCTAAAGCTTTACCGACTCTCCCTCATCCTTCAGCACCTCTTCATCAGCATGACTAAGGACAGGTTGTTCACCAATAAAGAAATGACCTTTGCTAGAAATAGCTATCATTATAAATCTTGGTTTCCTTGTGCTTCTGTCCACGAGCCCGCAGAAATGTCACCGAGGAAATGGCCTAATTGGATTATGTCAGATTTGCAAGAGCATTTAGCTTTTGAGGCGACGGGCTGTGCACGTGAGGTTACCTTTCGCCGCTGCACTTCACACTTTCCTGTATTTCTAGTTCCCATCGAATTTTGATCCCACGTGACCAGCAGGAGCAGGGAATTTGCTCTGACTGCAGTAGGTGTGGGTGAAGTCCCACCTTCCCGTTCACCAGTACGTCTCACTAGCTCATGGACAAGGCCCTATATAATATAGGTTCTGCCTGAAGACTCGCGAATAATAAGCGGTAACGAGTAAYGTGCGCCAAGCTCTGCAGGAACAGCGAGCGGCAGCCGGGAAAAGGTGATTCCCACGTTGCATAATTCCATAGSCCAGTTACTATCCTGGTCTGCAGGGAAAGCTTACGACTTCAGCCATTGCCCTGTTCCTCGTGAGTTATTCTTAGTATATTCCTCATTATTCTTAGCAGCAGAAAGAATAAAAGAAACTCACGGTTCTTGGCTTCTCCATGCCCTGTCCTGAGCTGCGTGCCCACGTCCCAAGGAGAACCAAAGGGCCGGGCTGAGCCACCAGCACCTCCTTCGACAGCCYGTTCCTTGAAAGCCAAGAAGCTGATCCACAAAGCGGGGTGCCAGCCGCCCTCACCTGCCTCTCCTTTATCTCRGCCCTCTCGGCTAGCTGGAATTCTTCCTCGGGCCCTCAGTCACAAGGGGTACGTTGTCCTTATCAGCAGCCGAGGTCAAGGACAGAGTCACATTCCAGCAATGCAGAAGTGGGAATTCAGGATGCAGAGCTGAGAGGGAAGACGGTGCCGGAGAGCCGCACACTGCAGCCATGGGAAAGCTCTGCGCTCAACCTGCTTTCCTGGAGGGACTTGGCCTGGGCTCRGTTTTAATGGCTCTCCTGCTGGCGAGCCTGCAGCACCCAAACGAGTTTTGGCATTTACCTTTCTGCATCCTTGGCCCGTGTGGGCATCTCATCGATGSCCCCAGTTTCTCTCTCCAAGCCCATATTTCATCCATAAATATCAACTCCTCGGTGCCTCCCATACCCTTCCCAGCTCTTCAATACCCTTCCTGGGTGGTCTCCCTAGCTTTTTTTGCAGAGTATAATTGTGCTTGTATAGACATCCTGCAGCACTAAGGGGGTGAAGAATGCCTCTCTCTCTTTAAAAACAGCCACAACAACAAATTGCTTAGGAAATAATCCAGCTGTTATTTTAATTTAAGATGCCTTTCAGCAAAAATGACCTTGATTCCCCTGAACTGTTCATTTTTTCTTTTTTTTTTTCCTTCCTTTTTCGCCAACTTGGTTCAACACTGAGCATGATCTTCTCTTTTAATATATTGTTTTTTCCTAACTTAATTGCTCGTTATCCAAACTACCACCAGCACTCCATGGAGACAGCTGAGAGGGTCAAGCGTTGGACAAATAAAAAAAAGTGAGCAACCCCAGGCTGGAATTTTTTGGGGAAAAAAATGAAGCTCCAGATAGTTATGACAGCACGAGTGGAACAGTAGAAGTGCAGAGGTGCAGAATAAGAAGATGAAGAGCCTTTTCTGAGCGACTGGGCGGGAAGAAGAGGTGGAGTCAGTCTGCAGGGAGTCGTGCTTCCCACCTCCCAAGCACACACCTGTGTGGCACAAAGCCAGAGCGGGTCATGGCCAGCAGCTCCAACCTCCGATTAACCGGCCGTAGCTGCCTCACGGAAGCATCCAGGGAAATTACAGGCTCAAAGGTGGGAAGAACGGGGAGGGAAGGTCATACAGTCCATACATTTTTATGACCGAGATCTTGTTTATTAGAAAAGGAGTAACTGGATGTGCAATCAGTCAGAATATTGCACCAGAAAAAAAGTTAATCCTTTTAATGCTATTTCTGTAAGTCTGCATGAATAGGAGTGGAATCATAAAATACAGTACAGCTGTCTGCAAAGATTATGCAGGAAATTCCTCTTTGTCCAAACATCGTATCGTATGTTGTCTTTGAAGAGAATGCCTATTAACTCTGGACGTGCACCAGCAGCCATCCAGAGAGCACACTCACAGCGGAGCCCTGCTCCTCTCTTGGAGCAGATATATTAAAAATGCACACGCTGTCACAGATTAGATCCGAGGCCCTCTTGGAAACCTGTTTAGAGCAATTAACCTTGCAGATGCGATAAGACGATCGATTACGCAAACCTGAATTTCTACTAGACTAAGAGGTAATTTGTAGCTAACAGCTTGTAAGACCAAAATCCCAAACGTCCTATGAGACGTTAGTGCTCGATGGAAACAACTTGGAAATGCAGAGTCAGGATACGTGCATGCAGTGTGGCCTTAATCCTGCAGGATTTGACTGCAACGTTTCCCGCTCCAGCATTTACAGCCTCAGCAGCCCGCAGTTTAGATAAATGTTTCTAGTGAATCTGGAAGCGAAACAAAATAATCACACTCAAATTATCTAACTCCAGAGTCAGAAAGTGAGCTTCAGTATGTCCAGATCAACACACGTGTATTTAACTAGTGTTCCAAATTATTTTTAGCCAAGTATATCACCAGTATAACAGTATAGCCTGTTAGGGAGCAACACCATGTGGCTA